GGGCTCTTAACACGGAGAGGTGTGCTTGAAGAGGGGGAATGCACAAAAAATATATAAAATAAATCCAAGTTTCTTCAAATTCAGCACTCGTGTTTTCCCAGCCTCCTATTATGAGACTTGACACAACGTGGGGGTTGGCTCAGAGGGGAGCAGCAATAGTTACATTTTCCTCTTTGATAGAAAGACTTTGGGATAGCACTTTGCTTCTTTTGGAGCTTTGCCCTAACGTCAGGTGAAAGCAGTGGGCCCTCCCCCACTCAATAACACCTGCAGGTGCCACATCAAATGTACCCGCAGCACCTGTGAACTTTACTGGTGTCTGTGCTCCAGTCTTACTTGCACTACTTCACCCTGCTTTGAGAATCAAGGGCTGTGAGGCTCACTATTTCCCAGCTCTGAACAGAAGCGAGGTATAATGAGCCTTTTCCTCCAACTCCATTCAATAATTAACATCAAACAGAACAAATATCTTCCTGCTGGACTATAACACAATGCACTCTCAGCCACAAGCAGCACATCACAAAGTACTATCAGGTGGCAACCCCAATACCTTGTTCATATACCTGAGCAAGGAGGAAGGAAGAGTGAAGAAACACTCCTCTGAACACCTTTTCTGAACTAAATCCCTGATTTAAATCGCTCCCTTCTAGTATCAGACAACAGAAATCCTTCCCTTTTTGTCACAAGGCCTCCCAGGTTGCAGATTCTGCTCCATTCGTGATCAGAACCTGCAGGGCCAGGGGGGAAGACGGTAGCTGATCCTGCCAGGACCCATAGACTCATCCACATCTCCTTTGCAGCATCTACATGCAAGATCCCTGCCAGTTCCCAGGGTAGCAGAGCTCCCCTAGGAGCCCCGCAGAGCAGCAGGGCAGAGCCATACAACCCAACATACTGACAGGGATTTGGGAGGATCTGGGTCCACACATGAAATGACACAACTGTCCTCTTGCCCACATCAGTCACAAAGAAAAAAAAAAAAAGAGAGAGAGAAAATAAGGAAAGAAAGGAACAAACCTCATATTCCTGACAGTGAGGGTGAGAGGTCAGAGCCTCCAGAGAGCAGTGGGGATTTTAATTAATAGCATCACCTTCAAGAATATTGGAGCTTTCCAAATGGTGAGTACAACTTGACTCTACACCAGCGCATCCTTTATCAACACGCATCACCAGACCTTATGAATTATAAAGTCTCAAGGTGAGGAAGCCATGCGTCACCCAAACACTTCACCCCAATGACAACTAGACCGCATCAGTTCATCTGCTCTGTGAGGAGACACTTGATTCCATCAACCTCGAGGAATACTTCTGTGCAGATATCACTTCAAGCACATCTATTGATCACACAGCCTGGACACTGCCAATCATTTTTAAGTTATTTAGTAGCGGAGTTGCCAGTCACTTGTGCACAAATGAACAATGCTGGAAGTCTAACGGGCTGGTGGAAGGCTGAAAGCAAATGGAATAATTCATTGCAGTCAAAGGAGATGGAGTAGTATCAATTTTCAGCTCACCCACAGGAAGTATCAATGACAGATTGGGCATCTTCACATCAGATGTAATCAATGTTATACTTAAGTGCCAGAAAAAGTAATTTAGAAAACGGTACTGGTAGCAGACAGTAAATATTGATGATTAACCCTTCAGTAATCAGTAGCTCGCTAACTTGTTCTGACAATGACCTCTATAAATCTTTAATATATTGGAAAAGGATTTTCTTATATGCTGGACCTCTGCTTCCAAACCACACTGCAGAAATTCCTGCAGCTTAGGCACAAAGACAAAGCTTTCCCCCTGTGTCTATAACCAAAGAATGTCTGCCATTTGTACAGATACAAAGAGACCTACTTTATGTTTGAAACAACAGGTATTTGGATTCAGTTCTGTGCAACGTGAAATTCTCAGTCGCATTTAATATAGACAGCTGAGAGCTCTAGAGAACTTGCTCATATTTCATTATCTGTCACCAAAATAGACATAAGAAACTTAATAAGATATACCTAGGCACAGATTTAGTTTCTTACTCAAACATGAGCTCAAACAGAAGCAATAGACTCAGTGCAGAAATTGCTGCTTTGATCCAGCAGCCTCTGTTATCCTGGAAATCTGAGCTGGAGGTTGCAATCCTCATTTCTGCCCTTAAGGTCCCTCTGCCTGGTGAAACATATCCCAGTTACACGGGAGCAATTCTCTGAAAGACAGAACTGCACTTTGCATATGTGTGATGGTAAAAATTAGACTAGTCCTTTGCATCTCTAGGAATGCTTAACTGCATTTCAGCATCAACCACACAGGTGTTAAATCCATGCTTTTCCTGAAGTCATTCCTAGCTCTCACTCATATACGCTCCAGAACAGATCTGCCTTTATTATCCTGTGTTAATTCCCTCACTTTTATGTTCCACATACAGTTCAGAGACATGGTGTTTCAATTGTTAGAATCACTAAGGGACCTCTCTGTCCAGTTCTGGGTGCTGCTGGTGCAACACTCAAGCACGGTGCCATTCCCAGCAGCAGCCCTGCTGGTCCCAGCGAGCAGCAATTGATCCTCCTGGCTCCAGCACAGACTGTCTGCTTGCTAAAAGCCTCCAAGTGAGATATTAGTCTATTGGAGTCCATTTTTTCACTGAGAGCAATGAGTTCATGCTTTGTCGTGTATTAGCAGTGAATTCAAGAAGAGTTTATGCATACCAGTGTATGTTTATGCTGGTGAAACAGCTGCTCTTTAAACCAGATAGGTTCATATTTTATTTGCTGTGGATGACTAAAGGCACGAAAGACACCATGGTTATGCTTGACAAATCCAGAATACAAGTCAGCACACAAGAAGAAAAAGAAAAAAGCTCACACGGAGTGAAAAAGACTGCTGAGCTTATTCAAGCCTTTGCAGCTATGACAAACCAGACTCCATCTCCCTCCCAGTCCTTGTTCAGTCACTGATGGGGAAAAGAGGAACAGAAGAGTCAGCAGCATCTGTCTGCAGCTTCCCTCTGAAGCCCCTCAGTGGCTGATCTTCTGCCACCCAGCAAGACCAACCTCAGCTCCAGTGCAGCCTCGAGAAGCAAACAGTACACAAACAGTGCAGAAAATCAACATTTAAATTTCATGAGCCACGCCTACTATCATTTGCTTTCTCCCCATTTCTCAGTGGGTTGCCTGGTCATTGTAACAGCTAACAACCCAAATGAGTTACTAAGATTTTGCCACGTCACCTTTTGCATGCAAAATGCTATGTTAGCAGTACAGAAACAAGAATTCTGTGAGCTCCTTTTACCAAAGCTTTTCAAATTAGATGAGCCAACCAACAGGAATGGTCTATCCATACATGCTTTGGCACAAGGATTTGGCATCCCCTCCAAACCCCTATTTCTGTGTTTTTGTTTCCTCCAGAAAAATCAAGAGACCAAAGCAGGCAGCAGCATATCTGTGGATCTACAGGTGAAATTGCTGGTGGAGAAGGCAGTGGAAGAAATGCCTCGTCACAAGATTCTCTGTGCCTATTCCTCGTTTCAGAAATGCTTTTTACATACAAGCTAGACAGACCTGGCTCTCTCCAAATTCAATTCTGTTAACATGCTTACGCTGAGGAGGCAGTGTCACAGGGAAATGAATTAACTTGGAGGAAGAAGGGGAGAAAAGGTGAGGAGACCCTTAAGCAGCATGTTTCTAAAAAGAAAATTAGTGCAATTTTTCTTTTGTTTGTTGTGTTTTTTGGTTTTTTAAAACAAGTCTTTAGTTATCCACAAATGCTGATATTGTGGAGGGTTGGGAAATGAGCTTGTAATCAGGTAAGCTATCAACAGGCAAATACCCTATGACTTAATGGCTTGTGGATCACAAGATACACACAGCCAGACCTGGTTACAGCTATCCCCTAGATCAAAGGCTTTTCACACAGATGGGGTGCAGGGAGCTGCTGCAGCATTCCGGATTTAACTACTTTAAAGTTTTGGTGATTACACAATTATTCGGGTGTTGGTTTTGTTTTGTTTTGTTTTTTAACTGTCACTCAAATCACTCTGTAGCTAATGAGCAGGTAGATGGAAGAAAACAGCTGAAAAGCAAAGTCTTGACAAACAGCTGTGCCAATAAGTGTCAGCCTTCACCCCCAAGGGTCAATCCCCTTATGAAACAAGCACTTAATCCTTTACAATTTTTAATTAAAAATCTGCCAAGAATCCTGTAATACTTTCTCGAGATTCTGATTCTGTCGGGGGAGTGCTGACCACAAGTTGTTTCAGTAGAGATGTTGATCCTGTGTAAATCCGTGTTTCAAAGCTGGGGACTACCACACCACGGGTGAGTGATGCAGCACATCCCCATCGCCCAGAGCATTTAACTAATCGCTGCATCACTAACGAAGGCCCCCCTCCCCGCTCCGCCGCAGCCCAGCGACCCTTCTGCTCCACTTCAGCATCCTCTGAAAGCGGAGGGCGGAACGCACTCTCACATATCCTTGAAACATTTGGCAAGCTCAGCATCCCCGAGGAGCAACGGGCGAGCGCTGCCCGAGGCTCCCCCGCCCTGGTCGTCCACCCGAGGGCGGCAGGAGGGATCCGAGCCGTGCCGGGCAGACAGCCGGCTCCGCGTTCCCGAACCGGCCGGTTCCCGGGTGGCTGCCACTGCTCGGGGCTAAGCCCAGCCAGCAGCCTCCCCCGGGGCTCCGTTACGCGGCTCGCTTCGAGCATCCCCACGGAGCTTTTGTGCCTGCCGGAGGCGGGAGTCCAGCCGGTCCCCTCCCGCCCTGGCCAGCGGTGGGAGGGCAGCCCCGTGCGGCGGCTCCGCAGAAGCAGCATCCTCCCGGGGGCGGGAGAGGGCCCGGGCAAGCCGAGCCGAGAGATCTGCGGCGGACAAAGCAAAAAGAAGGGCGGGGAACCCCCTTCACATCAACCCCCCGAGGCTCCGTAGCTGCCGGTGCCCGCACCGCCGCCAGCCCGCATCCCGCGTCAGAGGCAGGGCCCGGCGCTGCCCTGGCCCCTTCCTCCCCCGCGGCTCCCCTACCTGTTCGGAAGAAAGCATCCACCTCCGAGTCGGGGACAGCGCCTTCCTCCGCCGCCCCTTCGGTGGGATTCATGGCTGGGGGAGAGGAGGCGGCGAGCCCGGCGGCTGGTAATATCCAGTGAGTTAGGGAGGAGGAGAGCCGAGACAGAGAGAAAAAGAGGGAGGGAGGGAAAAGAAAAAGGAGGGAGGGATGGAGGCGCGTTTAGCAGCGAGCCCAGCCGAGCGCCGCCCGGCTCATCCCTTCCGCGCTGCCTGCGGGGCGGCTGCCCCGGGGCTGGACTGGGCTGAGCTGCGCTGCCCGCAGGCTGCGCTAGGCTAGGCTGGGCTGGGCTGCCCGGGGCGGGGTGCCGAGCCCCGCCGCCGCCGGCCCCCTCCCCTCCGCCCGCTATTGTTCCGCTTCGTGCCCCCCCCCCGCCGCCGCGCTGCCCCTCGCCGCGCTGCCAGCCCGGCCCGGCCCCGGCAGCCGCCCCCGCCGCTTCCCTACCGGCGCTTCCTGAGCCGGGCCGGGCGCGGAGCCCGCAGGGGCAGCTTCTCCGCGGGGCGCGGTCGCTCCGCGCAGCAGCGCGCACCGGGCGGGCTGGGGCGGGCACAGGTGCGGGCTGGGACGCCCCAGATGGAGCCTTGTTTTGTTGTTGTTGTTGTTATAGCCTGCCCCTGTGCGCTCCGCAGCCATATGTCTGTGCATCACGCTGCCATGTCTCCCCTCGGATGAATAACCGCGGGATACGGCTTTAGGCTGTCAGCTGGGCAGGTAGTCGGGGACTCAAAGTAATTGCTAGGATGGCTATAAGGAAACTCTCCCTTTATTTATTTTTTTTCCTCCCTCCTTCCTCCTCCTTTTCACGGGCTGCAGGCACAATGGCTTTGGAAACGATCAGTGAAACTGCACGCTGTTGCAGGTACACCTCTGTGTTTTACTCTTTACAGTCCCAGAGGGCTGTAGGGTAGAGAACAAAAAAGGACTTTGAAGAAGCACGATCCTGCTCCCAGCTCAGACATTGATTCAGCTATTTAAATGATTCTATTTCTCTGCTGTAGCTCCAGTATTTGTGATTTGGGACAACAATTGTTGTCTCAGAAGGAGCACTATGAGGAATGCCTGTTTGCACTCCGTTAGCAGCTGTGTTAAATATTATTCCCTAAGCCCAGCTATCAAGATTTCAAGCACAGATAGACAGAAAGACAGGTATTTGCCATTTGGGCACTTTCCTTTCTTCTCCCATCCACCTATTTGAAGTCTCACCAGCTTCTCATTCCTCAGCAATCAGGTAACAGCATCAAAACCTGCAGCCTGCTTAGGGAGCAGGGCTGCTGTTCCACCAATTCAAAGCACCACTGTAAAGCAGAGGTTTACTTGCACACCCCACAGGTCAACTGTTACCTCTGCCACAAGTAAGAGGGAGCAGCTGGTGGAGCTGGCACCCCCTGGGATGTGTTCCACTTAAATAACCCATCTTTGCTGCAAAACACTGTCTTCTATCTGAAGACAAAGAGTCCCTTAGCCAGCAGGTCCCAACGTCCCTAGAACCCTCCTGTCCCCATAGGGATTTTGCCCAGTAGCCACTCCTTTGTTAGTGATGTTTAAGGAAACTCTGTAGGTGGATGGGAAGAAGCAAGCTGTGCACAAGGACAAAACATCTCTGGGTCACCCCAGAGGGACTGGCTGGAATGTAGCACAAAAGCTACGCGTCAGGCTGGTGGGTCTCCAGACAAAAAAATACTCATAACAGGAGAAATCTCAGAATCAACTGGCTGTGAGTGACACTGCTTGGATCAGATCTCCCCCTGTCTGCAGGTTAGAAGCTGAGGCTGGCGGAGTATCCCAGAGAATTTCAGACTATGGATTTTCTTCATCTCATCTCTTCCCAATAGAGGGTAGTAGAAGGCTGGGTTTGGATATGTGCCCACTGATGCATTGTACTTGATAAAAGGGCCAAAACTTTCCCTAGAGAAACAAGTATTGAAATGGCATTGACCAGGCAGGCTGAGCACAGGCCTCCCAGTTGAATTTCCTTACTACTGGAACTGAAACAGAACTGAAAAGCAGATTGTACTGCAGGCCTGGGGAATGCAGAAACAGGAGCAAGCACCCTATAGTGATCTAGCATATAGTTTCCCTCTGGTTGCTTTATTCCTCCCCTGACCTACTGCCCATTTCCCAAGCCAAACTCCAGCTGCTTTTAAGCACAGCTTTTTACCTTTTTACACTTACAGATAAAAAGGGTCATTTCACACCTAGCTGCAGGAAACATCAACACAGTCCATTTTTCAAGCACCAGACTTCTACAGTGAGCACTCACCCTTTCTTCCACACCACACCGCAGAAAAGCCTCATCTCAAGGTCTAAACAAACAGCATCATTTTAAGTCTCATCTCAAGACCCCATCACCAAATATTCACAACCATGGCCTTGTCCCCAAACTCTTAATGCTGACAGATGTGTAAGAGTGAGCTACAACCTTGGTGCTGGGAGGAACTGTTTGGTACAATGTGGTGAGGTTTAGAGTCAAGGCATTCCTCCTCCAGGAGCATCCTTAGCAGCTAGACAGGAGTTATCCACAGCAGAGAAGGTTCAGCATCATCCAGCAAAGGGAATTAATGATATAAATGACAGAAAAATTTATATTCCCCATTCATTATGAACCATGCAGGCATGTCCTGTCATGTCAACTGAAGAAATTGTAGAGGCTGCAAAAAACATTCTCGTCTGCATAACCCACAACCAAACACATTAGAAAATGTTGAGGGACGGAGAGGAGTTTGTTTAATTGACCTGCCATCCTGATAACTACACAGATTCCCTGTTAATGATTAAACCAGTTACAGCACTTATATTTAACCATACAATTTTGTTTCTGCAAACAGTTTGTTGTTTTTTGGTTTTTTTGTTTTTGTTTTTTTTTTTTTCCACAGAGAATAATTAGAACAAGAATGATCCCCGTTCTCTCACATGCTTTGAAACAAAGGGAATTTCTACTTTTTAAAGAATAAATGGGTTGCAGTGTTCGGGTTTTTTGTATCCAGTTTCACTAAAGTACATCAGGACCAAGCCATACATTTTTTATTGCTATCTTCTGTAGTAGGTACAGCATGTTTGTACTTCTATGCTTGCAGCTCCACTGGCCAGGATAGCCCTGCACTATATATTCACTGTTCAGAGCATTATCATTGAAGCAACATCCATCCATCCACAACTTTTGTAGCACATGGCAATGCAGCACAGGGAGCACACATACCTGTAAGTTTTGGTGCAAACCCAGACATCAAGTGAGCTACTATTTTCATTAACATTGTGAGCAGAGCAAGGCTATCACTGTAAAATATTATCAACAACTAGGAGCTACCATGACTTCAAGTCTCAGCAGCACACTCATGATTTTTGTTATTCAAAGAAGCTGTTAAATATAGAATGAAATTCTTTCTGCAGTGTATACTTCACTGTTTAGATACAATGCTGAAGGCACCTCCAGTTTCCTTGCAATATGAAACAAAAACAACACACTACCCTATAGAGTTACATAAGCCAAAACTTACGACTTCCATTAACAGACACTGCTTTAATCTTTTGCATAGCTCTGCTTGAGAAATATCTCAGCCCACACTGAACAACAATTTTACTAGGTAAGAATGTTCTCATTTGTGATGACCCTTGAAGCTGCTCAAATAGCAGAAACTGTCACAAAGGCATTTGGTTTAAATCCTCTACTATAGTCAAGTTTAGCAACAGGACAACTATAGATGGCACCTAAGATAAAGCATGTTTAGCTAGACCCCACAAGCAAGTTGACTACAGGATAGGAGGGGGAACTATTTGAGCAAGAAATCAATCAAATTCATTTTTCCAAGATATTGCATCCAAGACTGTAGGACAGCAGCACTGCTGGGAACAGCAGCGCCAAGAGAAAGCACATGCAGTGTGGGTGTCCCAGTAGTGCTTCACACAGTACGTGTGTTCTCATTCCAGAGTTCCTATTCAGAAAGAGACAGGAGAAAAGCCATCCTGCCAGGCTCAGCAGACAAGCTGCAGTCTGCAAGATGCTGCAGAGACCGTTAGATGTGCAGAAAGTCCCTCCCTTTCAGTGTCCCAGCACTGTATAAATACAAAGCGTTAATGGGTTGGATCAAAGAGAAACCTGAACAGCAGAGTAGGAAAATGTAAGTCTTAAAAGCACCTAAGGCTGCCTCATTAATAAGTTATTTGCAGCTACATACTGGGGTATGTGAGAAAAATTTCTCACACCCAGAGACCTATTCAACCTTATGTTTTGGTATTAGAGTTGAAATTACTATGCTCCTAAATTGGGCTGAGTCTGGGGTTGTGGGGGAAGTTCCCATTCATATTCCAGCCTACCAGAAATGTTGCGAGGGAAAATTCACAAGCACTCAGAAGCACAGTATGCAGAGAAGCCTTAGAGCAGCATGGAGGATCAGGAGGCATGCTTCATACGTTTAGACTGAAGCACCCACATATATGCCAAAGATTATTTCTGTGCACACTGGGCTTGGCTTCGCAGCACCCACAGACACATTTACACCTGTCAGTTAGCTTGACCCTTTGTTCTGATGTGGAACAGCTGTATGAGCAAGAATAGAGCAAGCTCTAATCCCACACCAAAGTACTTGTCCCAGCATCATCCCTGCTACTGTTATCCTCCAGACAGAAGTGGGAACGTCTGTGGAGTTGCCACCTAATCTCCCACTTCCAGACACCACCAGTTTCCCTGAGCTTGCACAAAAAGCAGAACATTAATCACTCCTCTCCAGAAACACTACCCCATCTAGACCAGTGATGACAATTACTAAGATAATTTTCGAACTATATAATAGCTTTAGCACTTTTAGCACCACCATTAGTGGCAATGCAAAGGTTTGCTGGTATTAGCAGACAAACAAACGTGCTTCTTCCATAAAGCACAAAAGTGCATTTGCCTCTCTGGCCATAAAAGCTTAAGCTGAATGCAGAGCAACAGAACAACTGATGTGTCTGTAAAGTGTGCAGGTCTGTCTCTGAGTTTCCAGATAGGAATCTGGAAAGAGTTGGCAGTGACTGAAAAGCCTTTTTTCTCCAATAGCTGTTTTGTTACAGTTGGTAAATGAATTGCTTGTTTTTATTAACTACTGCAAAAAAAAAAAAAAAAAAAAAAATCTAATTACAAAGGTGGTACCCTTCAACCATTTGCTACGGAAGGACAGACAAGAGAAGCTTGTATTGGCCAGGTTTATGCTCTGGTTTTATGTACACAAAGAACTTCAGTCTTCAGCACTGTTAAGTTGGTACATTTTGTTCTAACTAAATTTCCTGCAAAC